GATTCATGACACCTATCACCATAGTTGCAGAATTTCTAAAGGACTATTCCCACAAGAGACAGAAGTGCAGTAATTGCTTATGTTCAATAGATGGCAATCTTTGCATTGCAGTCATCAAATCTGTATTTCACGGGACAGCATGATCTACACATAGAAAATGAAAGATCAATGATAAATACTCCAGACTGTATGGTAGACAAACTGTATAACTGGGTTATAAATGGGAACATCTCTGGGCCTGTGGTCCCTTTTCCCAGTCTGCAAACACGCTTTCTAGACAGAGCCAGGTTAGAGATCCTACCTGGCCGTTGCTATTTTATTCTTAGTTTAAAGATCAATCACTGGTGTCCAGGTGTGGCTGCTCTCTGGAGCATGCACCATACAGTCTGTGCCTAATTATTTCCTACTGGAAACATGTGGAGTAGGAGACCAGGGAGAGAGTCCTGACACCTCTGCATGGCTTGTGAAGGGCAGCAGTTTCAGGTCACCGACACCAATGGGCCTTTCCTTTCTACAAGAATTCCAACCGGCCTATTTCTCAATTAGAACTCGCAAGGTGAGTCAGTCCATTTGTGGAACACAGTAACAATTAAGACAAGGCACTTCGTTAACAAACTGCTCCTCTGATCAAGGAATTGCAATTGTCTATAAAGAAACATGTTTTTTAAACGTGCTACAAAAAGAATATGTTCAGAAATATTTCTGAGTTTAAGCTTTTCAAATTTTCAATGAATGTAGCTCTGCTCAAGAACTAACTTAAGGTCTGTTCTTCTAGCACTGAAACTCTATTTTGAAGCCTTCAACTGAAAAATCAAGTAGTGCTGTAGGACAGTCTAGAAAATGTTTTCTTCTTTTATTTCAGCTTTATGTAATGTGTGACCAGAGTATAAACACTTTATGTACTAGAGGGAGAGACAGTCACCTTCCTGCTGATGGCAGTTCATTTATATATTAAATGAGGCATCATTTGCACTCAGCAAGCCATTCCCACCCATTCCCACCACTGGTGTCTGGGGATAGGATGTTTCTTTATTCTGCAGAATCACTCAGAACATTACAAGGCATCTGCAGCCCTGACACCCAGAAGGAGGATCTTCCTGATCCCGTAAAGTAGGTATTATCCCCATATCATTTTCAAAGACAACAGCAACATCTACCCCAGGAGAGAATGGGAAGTAGGGTTCTAAAATTGAGAGCAGCAGAATTTGTATGTATTTCTACATCTGTGTTATATAACATACATGTTATACATATAAAGATGATAAATGACAAGTGTGTTGGCATAATCCTGTGATACATTTGATTCTAAAGTGCTGCATAAAACTTGTGAAATTTTATGCTGCTTCCCAGAAAGAAGTATTTAATACGTTCACTTAAGATAAATCTTATTTATTTATTTCATTTCATTGATAAGCTCCCCATTTCACTGATCCATTTCATTGACAATATCTGATTTTTTTTCCCCCCTTGGGAAACAGGAGGGAGGTTTGGGTCATATCCAGCTATACCCAGAGCTTTCTAGCTTTGTGCTCAGGGATCACTCCTGGCAGGGGCTTGGGGAGCTGACAACATCTGATTTCTAAATATCTTTACCTACTTATCACTCCCATAATTCCTTTGTGTGTAAAGCATTTCATTTTCTGACTGGTAAAATATCATAGGAAAAAAAAGTTGAAACATTTTAAGAGTAACTTTACAGTTTTAAAACAAGTCTATGATAAAAGTTCATAAAAAAGAGATAAACAAAAATGAATTAAATTTGATCACTAAACTCACAATATTTTTGTAATATGCTTTTACAGTTTTTCACTCGTTTTAAAGTTTGGAATATAATATGTCTCAGGAGATTTACTGAGTACAGGAATTTAGTCTCTCACAGGGTCAAATGGAATTTCCTATGGATGCTGGCTAAATATCAACCCTTGTACTCAAATACAGATCCTATCATTAATCTAAGTTTATGATTTCAATGCAATGTTATGTGTTTTCAAGTAGGTAAGTTAGGTAAGTTATCAAATCTTATTTTCACCAGTAACCATTCTAAATCACAAAGTTCTATACACTTTTTGTTGTAGTAGAGAAGCCATTTTTACTAAAGCTCTCTTTCTATAATTTGACTTATCCTAGAATTCAGTGGTTGATCAAAAATAGTATATTTACTCTATCAGACCATTTATTTTCATGATAAATTGATTCTACAATTTTTTCAAGCATCATCTTTTGTGATCAGTGAAGAATTATTATGCATAAGAACACCAGGTCTAAGAAGGTAGATTTCTTTAGAGATCAAAACATAGGAACAATGATGTAACAATGAAGAGCTGATTCAATTAAAAAATATTAAGTACAGAGACAATTATCATAAGTAAATCTTTAAATAAATTATTGTTAAATGCATCTGGTATGCCAAATTTTAATCAATGAGCAATCACTAATGGAAATAACAGTTTCTCTATACTGTCAGGCAGCAGTCCTAGTTTATAGTTACATTAAAGTGTGAAAAAGAAGAAATAAGAAACCTCGAAAAAAGAAAAGAACCTTGAATGCAGGAGAGACCCTTCAGCAATCACTTTCACATAAACATTTAATTTTATGCTGTATCACTAATATACAATATTTACATGTTGCCATTGGTATTTTATATTAATTAATTCTGAAAAATACCTATTTATTATAGTCCATGCAGAGATGTTTGTAATATATCACAAAATGTCTAACAGTTTCCCAAATGAAATGTCAGCAGAATATCAAAGTGATATTCTATTAAGTATTGAAAGGCAATGTTACCACTAACTTCAAATAACAGAAAACTGCATTGGGAGCTGGGGGAGAAGGGAGTTGGGATAGGGAAGGGACCACTGTGACGATGAGAGCTGGAATGATCACTCTGGGTAGTACTGCCTGCAGAAAGGAGGGAAAGGGACAAACATGATAACCTCTCAGGATCTGTGTTGGAAAACATAATGCCCAAAGGGGGAGGGAGAGAGAGAGACAGAGAGAGACACAGAGACAGAGACAGAGAGAGAGAGAAGTGTCAGCCACAGAGGCAGGCAGTTGGGGGTGGGGGGCAGGAGGGAAACTGGGGTCTTTGGGGGTGGGAAAGGGACACAGGTGGATGGATGGGTGTTGGGACATTGTATGACTGAAACGAGCATAAACAGCTTTGTAACCGTGTATCTCAGAGTGACTCAATTGAAAAACAAAAAAACAGAAAACAAGTACAAAACTATGGTACAGGTATCTTTATTACAATGCTTTTCCAAACTGTAAATGCAGTAATTACTGAATTTAGGACTAACAGATAGAACATTCCATTATAAGACAGAAAGCACATCTAATAAAATATTCAGCTTGCTTGTGTTATATAAGTTTCCTAGAAACAGCAGCAAAGCACAATAGTTCATATCACTAAGTAAAATACTTTGTGATATCATATAAAGAATCATTCATACTGCAATTTATCTTAATTTCCTGATTTAAAAAGCAAAGCTATCTTTACCTTACTATTTTATGGCTAGAAACTGTCAACACCTTAAAATATCTACCAACTTTGAAATATCTCCTTCGTTAAAATAGGATTTTTGAAATACACCAAAACAAAACAAAAACTCCACAGCATTTTCCTACTGAAAATAGGAGGATTCTCTTTCCTTTTGTAGGACCTAAAACCAGCCTCCTTCTCCTCATATAGTTAACTTGAGTCGTATCTGCTTCAAAGATACTGTCGTCTAAAATGAACTCTATTCTAATGAAGTCATCTCCGCTTCATATCCTCATAGTTACTTGTTTAGAATCGTTTAAAACCTCTTTTCATATATTGTAAAATATATTTAAAAAGTCATCTTGGGTGAATGTGATAACACAGAGTATTTTCCAAATTAGATAAGGATGTTCGCTTCATCTATCTCATCTTCGAATGGTCAAATTCAACATACGCAAGAATTTTTTTTTTCAAGGCTCATGCCCTAATAACAGTTAAAAATGCAATCTCATCCTTAATTTGTTTTCTTGGCTAAACATTTGTGAGCCACTAACAAAAACTGTAAGAAATTGTTAGAAAAATATAGAAAAATCCAATTTTTCATAAAGAAAATTTAATGCAGATTTTGCGATTAAGTTGGAAAAACAGACTGAATGAAAAGATCTGTGCTGGCTGCTTGGGTAGGGGTGCAAAGCTCACAAATCACTGTACGTTAAGTGCACGTGCTGAGACTTCGTGGTGCCAGTCACGTAATTTTGTGTATTTGGGAGTAAAGACGTGAAGGGGGATCTTTTCCCTGTGGAAACAGAAAGAAAGAAAGAGAGAGAGGAGGAAAAGTGATAGAAGAGTCGTAAGAAAGAAAAGTCTCTACACTTAGCTCATCATGCAGAAAACATGCACCATTCAAAGGATAATTTCAAAGTTGATTTCTTTAATAGATTTTGAGGGCAGGCAGAGATTTTACATTCATCTATAAAGTCCTCTGGCAAACATCAACTCTACTCCCCAAGCCAAGTATCTGCAAGTCAGCACAGGAACTCAGGCCCAGGGCTCTAAGTTAGCAAAGCACTCCCACCACTGACTTCAATACTGAAGTCTCACTACACTAACTAGACATACTCGACTCACTTAAAAACTGGCAAATCGTGGGCTGGAGCAATAGTACAGCAGGGAGGGCACTTGCCTTCCACGGGCCAACCCGAGTTTGATCCCCGGCATCCCATGCAGTCCCTCGAGTTCAATCCCCGGCATCCCATGCAGTCCCCCAAGCACTACCAGGAGTGATTCCTGAGTGCAGAGCCAGGAATAACCCCTGACCATTGCCAGGTGTTGCCCAAAAACACAGTGGAACAGAAGAAAAAAAATGGTAACTTGTACATTTACGTTACACAAGAGAAACCCAGCTAAATGCTTAGCTCCTAGAAGCAAAAACACAACGCCACACCATACTTGAAAACACGAGTATCAAATTGAAACCATTCACTAAAAGCATTCAACTAATGAAAACGGGTGGACTTACTTTGCCTTCTTCGTATTGTCAGTTTCAGATTCTTTCACTGAAATGTAATGAGCAATATGGAGCATTAGTTTGTTCGTTTAACTTTAAAACACATTTCTGCCCTTAACTACGTCATCAGAACCAGAGGGTCAAGTTGCACAGAGCATTTTCTTCGAGGCTGTTTGAGCCACCTCCATGCCAGGCTGTCATCACATGCCCCAGTCTTGCTCTTGGACTACTCTACTCGTGAGTGCAACCTCTCCTGGACTGGTCTCAAGTGTACCGCTGCCGGCGCTGTGCGTGCATGGCACATACTAGCAAGCACACTCTGAGATGAGTCAGTCACTGCTCTCCAGGAGCCGCCCCACCAGTCTGCTCTCTAAGGCCACACCCCTCCCCACAGCCCCCAACGCCCACTCACAGTGCTCAGTCCCGGTGATCTGCGCGAGGATCCGGAAGGAGCGAGACTGGGTGGTGCCCGTCCGCGGGTGCCAGTCCTCAGTGTCCTCGATCAGCCTCTTCTTGCTGGCATCACTGTGCGTCGGCACGTGGTAAAACTCCGTATTGCGCTCCACTATGTGCTTTCTTGGTGGGCTGGGGTTAGAAAGGAAACACCGAACGTGACGCTCTTACGTTGCACTACTCAGGATAAAAAGAACCTCTCTAAGGAACATTCTTTAAGACACAAACATCTACTCCCCGATTTCATATATCCCAGGTAAACAGCCTCGATTTTTTAATAACCCATCCTTCTAAAAGCTCTATGAATGTTTTTTAGATTCATAAAATAAAGTACATATATACACTGCTGAAGGAATGGGTGTTAAAACATTGTATGATTGAAATACACTATGAACAACTTTGTTACTGTCTATCTTAGTGATTCAATTAAAAAATTTTAAAGATATATATATGCAAATATAAGATCACAGTATAAATATTCAACAGAAATGTTACCGTTTAGGAGGGATTTTCCTTTAAATTGACAGAAGAAGGCAGCAGAAGAAAGATTTCCAACATGAAGAGAAGGGAAACAAAGAATAAGAAGAAAAAAGAACTAGAAATTGAGAAGTCCACAATAGCTAACATCAAACAATTTCAAATTACTTGTATTATTCATCTTATGGTTCAGAGAACACAGATATACACTAAACTCACAACCACCTAACTGCCCAGATGCTACTAAATGTATAGATTTGTATGAAACTAAATAACATATATTCACTAGATCCAGGAATTAAAGACAACGTACCACACAAGCTAAACCTGTAAACGCAAGCATAATTTTGAAAGGGTATTAAGATTGGGTATTTTCTACAGTATCCATCTGCACAGACCACACCTATCCTAATACTGCTCTGTGCAGTATTCACAGATTTGAAGAACTGCTGAGTGTCGGAAGAACTGAGATATTTCTCAGAAGACTGAGATGCAAATTGGCTCTAGACTTCAGTTGTATGATTTTAGACATTCCAGTCCCACTGGGCCACAGTTTTTCAGTTTGTAAGGCAAAAATATGACCTACTAATTAGTATTTTTTCCTAAGGATTAGTTTCTTTTAAGAATTCTACATGAAAGGGATCAAAAACTTTGAGATTGTGAAGAACATCCATTTTTCTATCAATGAATCATAAATACTAAAGAATCCACAGTATCTTCACAGTATATTATTTTAACACAATATATTACTTCTCTATATTAAGTGAGTAAAGTTAACTCTTAAAAAATCTTAGTGACAGTATTGGTTTACAAAAGTATACATGTTCATGTTTTAGTATAATGTTAGCATAGCATGTGTTTCAGGCCCCTTTCAGCCCACCCTATCCTGTAACTTTACTTTGTCAAGGAATACATCGTATATTGTCTTTGCTCATTTGTTTTGCTATATACCACATTAAAAAGGTGATTATCGGACACCACCTTTTCTCTTTCTGACTTAGCTTGGCATAACACACTCTTAGCTCCACCCATATTGTAGCAAAATGGAAGATGTCGCTTTTCCTTATAACCGGGTAGGGATCCCATCATGGATATATGCCTTATGTTCTTTATCCATGTATCCGATAGTCAATGGTAAAAGTCTTTTTAGATCTTGGCTAGCGTAAAGAGCTCTGCATTGAACTCAGGTGCACATTCATCTTTTTTGAAGTAGTTTTTAGTGCTCTTTGAATGTCTCCCTAGGTGCAGGATTGCTGACGTAGAGGGTTTGCTAAGGGATCTTCACCCTGCTGTCTGGAGAGCGAGCCCGTTCACACTCCCATCACAGAGCTGTGTCGGGTCTCCAGCCACACGTGTCCCTTCCGGGCTTGCAGGGAACGTTCTCACTGGTGCCAAGCAACAGTGCACGCTGGCCAGCGTTCCCCAGCAGATCTCACGCCTGCCGCCCGTCCCTGAGTCTGTTTGGGAGGAAGTGCATACCCCAGCTCTTCTCCGTGGGTACTGGGAGGTTAGACGCGAGGCTGTTGCTGCTGAGTTCAGTAGACTCTCCTCTCCCCCACTTCCTCTTTGCTCTTTCTGCTGTTGCAATGACTCGGGGTTGCGTACACGCATGGCATGGTGCTCGCGATTTTCTTTGTTGGGGTACTCACTAGAGTCAGCCAGTCTGTTTGTGGTGCTGAGAAACTTGGCCAGTGTTAGCTGAGGATCACACATCTCTGGCTGTGCTACTTGCCAAGGTGCCCCCCAAGATCGGCACCTTTCAGAGGTGGTGCTCACACACACCTTGATGTGTTATGCCCAGAAATGATCTGCGGGGCTGGGAATCTTACTCAGCAGAACCGCCAGGTGCATCGTACACACAGCAGCCCAGAACCTCACACCTCACACCTGCAAGGCAGGTGTTCTGAGTCCTCCAAGCCCCCAAGTTTTATGATATATACATGTATAGAGAGAGGGGGGAGGAGAGGAGATCTGTGTAATAGCTGTTTTATCAGGTGTAGAGTATATGTGTGCAAATACTTTCTCCTATTGAAAAATGACACTCTTGCTTTGGTGGTAAGTTTCTGTCCAATGAATGAGCTTTTAAATTTGATAAATAATCATTCATTATTAGTTTTTGCTCAATTTCCCATGTTAATAGAGCTGAATCACTAAAGACCTCAAACCATTACCATGGAACGCTTTCTTGGGTGTATCTTGTGGACTCTAAGTTGATCAAGATGATCTAAGTTGGTCTAAGTTGATCTTGTAGCCATCTAAGTCTCCTGGGGGTGGTGGGGGTGGCTGGAGGGTGGTGCTGGGTCAGACCTGGTGGTGCCGGGGAATGGCTTGGAAAACCACACAATGCTGAGGATGACACGACTGGCCATACATAAGGCAAGCACCTTGACCCCTGCACTGTGTCTCTGGCCCTTTGGAGTCTGGCCCCTGGCAACTTTTTGATTTATTTTAAGTCAACTTTTGTATATGGTCTGAGATGGTGGTACACTTCTCTCTCTCTCTCTCTCTCTCTCTCTCTCTCTCTCTCTCTCTCTCTCTCTCTCCTCTTCTCCCCCTCCACCTCACCCCCTCTGCATGTGGACATGCTATGCAATTCCCCCAGTGCCTTTTGAGGAAGAAACTTTCCTTTCTCCATGTTATGTTCTTGGTTCCCTCATCATGGAACAGCTGTCCTTATCTATGAAAGGATATATTTCTGGGCTCTTAATTCTCTTCCACTGGTGAGAAAAATCTATTTTTACTCTAATATCAGACTGTTTTGTTTAATATGACTTTAAGGAATGATTTAAAGTTGAGGAACACAAAGCTTCACATTCTTCTTTTTTCTCAGAATTAACTTTACTCAGGGGAATCCTTACCAATTGAAATGGTATTTTTCTGTGACCTTGAAGAATGCCTTTGGAATTCTGACAGGACTTGTACTCAATCTGTATAATACTTCAGGTATCAAGTTCATTTTAATAATGTCGATTCTTCAAACATGGGAATAGAATATTTTTCTATTTCCTTATAATTTTCCATTTCACAACAGAATGAAAGTAGAAATGTACCATAAGTAGAAATCCAAGAACGTAAACATTTGAAGTTCTAATCTAACGATACTGATTTCAGGTGTATATTTTACACTCTATAAAAGCTTTGAATTATACAGTGGCATTAAGCTAAGACCCTTAGGATAATAAAATGACACCACTTAACCTTGTTTACGTTCAAAAAACAGACACCCCAAGTTAGAAAGCTCATTCAAACTTTTACAAAATGCTCCACAACGGAGGCCTACACTGGTCCCTAACTTCATTACCCATCACCCATAACCCATACTTTTCTTCCAGAAGGTCTAGCTTACTTCTTCTACAGCCAGAATGTGAACAGTGAACACACAGCACCACTGATTCAAGGGAAGTATTCTAACTTGAAAAGCATGTTTTCCATGTTCCACCACATGGTTGAAGATTATTTGAGTGAGGAGAAACTAGTAAAATTTGCTGTTGTTAAATGGAAAGCAAGATGGAAAGTCACAGAGAGCAAGTGATGAAAATGACAAGGGGAATCACTGATTAGATACTTACATGCTGCCAGGGTTACTGACGGGAAGAATAAGACACACACACAAGAGATGTGATAGAGTAAATAAGAGATCGATGTTCCCAGGATGACGGAAAACAAGGATGAGGCAAAAAAGGAAAAAAGAAAAAATGATACAGCAGAATTTAAAAACTGATTTATAGAAAGATGTCATGCAAATGCCATGCTTCAAAATCATATAAACAGAAACAACAAGAAAAACAAATATTAGTCAAACTTCTGTTACACTGCTATTATTTAGGCAGCAGTTTATGAGTGGGGTGTATTTTTAATTTTTTGGTTCCTGAAATATTTACTAAGTGATCGAGAATTTTCTTTGTTTCAACGATGAAATCCAGGTCTTCATCCATGCAAAGCATGCACTCGCCCACATACTATGTCTCAGGCCCCAAGATCTGCTAGTTTTGATACTTTCTAGGCTTTTATAAAATTGATTTTAGCACAAATCCAAATTTGTATCATGGTCTTAATGAAAGACAGCATAAAATACTTTTTATGACATATAAACTGTATGATGTCATCATCTGACACAAAGTATAGGAGTATTATTTTAAAATCATGCTTAAAATGAGAATAAGAAAAAAAATGTATTTGTTATGCAATATAAGGAGCATGTGTCCTAGGAAGAGAAATAACCTTATATAAACTATTCCAACTTATATACTTAAGGGAGTAATATGCTATTAAATTTTTGTGATCTAAAAATAGAGAAAGATGGTCACAAATAATGACTCATCACTCAATTTTCAGATTCTGCACTACCATCACCCTCCTTTATAAGTAAATCCCAATCAGGCTAAAATACATATATTTTTTTCCTTCAGTTTGGGACCACGCCTGGCAGTACTGAGGGCTTGCTCCTCGCTCTGTTTCCCGGATCCCTCCTGGCAGACTCTGGTGACCACAGTGCCCCATGGGCCCAAGCTGGGGCAGACACAGGCAGGGTGACTGCCCTTCCCACTGTACGCTCTGCAGGTCGAGCTCAGAATGGACCGTAGGGGCCACAGATTCCTGCATCATGAGTGACCCAGAGAGGCAAACCTGCTCTGGGGCGTTGAAGAAGCCTAGTCAGTGGCATCTGGCAAAAAAGGAATCCCCTCACGTATGATAGTATTTGGAACAAACAAATAAATGAATAGAACCAACGCAGTTCCATTCCTTTCTGGACAAGGAGGATGAGAGGAAGAGCTTGGTGTCCCGTCAGCCTGGTGCCCACTGGTCAGTGCCAGCACAGTGGGAGACTGGCACCCGGGGAGCCGCAACCCGGGCATCCCTGCTAGATGTGCACACCCCGGGTGGTGACAGCCCAGGACCCCCGACACACAGGGGGGCTGCCCACCCCCGCCCCTGGAGCGACCTCAGACAGAGGCCCCTTCTGGGGGGACAGTGCCCGGGTGCAGGAGAGAGGGGCTGCTTTGCCTGGGCGGGACAGGTGGGGCAGGACTCGGACACAGTGACAAGGACACAGTGACCGGCACACCACACAGGCAAGGAGGGGCACTGTGGGGCTGGTGTTGGAATATGACATGCCCCAAGCTCCACTTATCGACGGCTCTGTATATCACATTCCTTTGATTAAATAAAAAATTATCTATTAAAAAGTATCTTCTCCTAAACAAACAAACAACAACAACAACAACAATGAAAAAAAAACACGGGGGAAGGGGTCACACCCAGCTGTGCTCAGGCTTACTCCTGAGCAGAGTATGTCGAATAACCCAATAAATGAGTGTTCCTAAACAGGACCTTCAAACAGATACCCAGTAGCGTCTTGAGGAAATCAGGAAACCCTGCTTCTTGTCCTGACTTTGCAGCTATTTCTCCCATGTCCGGGGCCAGCTGCAAATCACGAGAGGCTCATTTTCCCCAGAGATTATGATGTCTCTGTCTTCCCAATGTCTTGTTCAAACACATAAACCTCTCTAAACAGACCTGTTGGTAGGAGAGATCTCCTTAACTGCTCAAACACCACCCAATTCAACTGTAGTTATGTTGATTATTCACTAATAATAGTCAGAATTCACTCCATTTACCCTTGAATCTGTAATTATTAAAAACAGATGCTAGAGGAAGACAGATAAAGTTGGTTCTCAGTTCAAATCTGAGCTCTCTTCAGCCAGAGGACAAGACCGCCCAGAGACACTGAGGTGGTCCAGAATGCGGGCAGCAAAGCCTCACGTGCAGTCGGAGGGAATGGATGAGATTTTTTGGCTTGTTTGCTTAGAGAAAGTTTTTAGGGAAGTACTGAAGAATTTTTTCTTCTTTCAGTAAAAGGAGCAGTAGGACAAATAAGTTTGGGAACCTTTGACTTACAGGATGCATGCTTTGGGAAAATCACAGAGATTTTAAGCAACCAAAGTTAAAAATGAGAATGAAAGCACCAAATGCAATTAGAATCACCTAGCACAACTCATATTAATACCTAATAATCAATCTGAATCAAAATTCAAAATATTTCACCTAAATGCTTAAATCTATAGTTTCGCCTTTAAACGTAAAAGTGCCCGTTACACTGAAATCTAGTAACTAGTTCAAAAATCTGTAAGAATTGATTCGTCTGGGTCTGGGAATCAGCTCTAAGGATGAGTGTGGATGCTCTGCCTCCTGGAAGCACGGGTTGCCCCCGTCACCACACAGTCCCCAAATACCACGGCAGGCCCCACCATCATGGGGAATGATCTTGGATCTCTAGGCCAGGCAAAAGTTGCCCCTGAGCACTTTTGCTGTGTGGCTCCAAGATAAAACCAAACAGAAAGAAAAATATTATTTTTAAACAAGCAAAAAATGAATCCCGTTTGGATCGTTTCACAAGCATTTTAGTATTCCTATGTGTATCAACCATAAAATTATTCAATTAATAAAGCCACAGATACACTCTAAAATTTAATAATTAATCCTTTGGTTTTGTCTTAAAAATTCCTTGTTTCCAGTTTTATTCAGAATAGTCATAATTTCACACAAAATTGTTTCAAGTTCTTACATAATATGATTCTGAACAATTTTTGAGGCGGTTATTTCTAGTCAGGTTACCATTCATTCCAAAAGCTAAAAACTGAAATTTTTAATTTACATGAGTGATTTCCAACATCTCTATCAACTACTATAACATTTAAGAAGCTGATGAGGGTCTCCCTAACTAATTTCAAAGTGGTATAAATGTTCTATTACATAAATGCACACACAGGCATAAGCCTTCTAGCAACATGTTTAAAACAATCAAAACAGGTTTAGAGATTTTATCTGGGAAACTAGTTGTTGATGAAAATCTGAAGAACAACTCAGATTTCTATTTTCTACTTTAACACGTATTTGTGTTTTCCCTTCAAACTTTATCTTCGTCTTCTAACAATCTCAATGATATAAATGCCACTCCTCCAAGTATTAGCTCTTCTAAAACGTTTCACAGCAAACCCCACATATATTTTACGACAAAAGTTAAACATTACTACTTATTAACCATAACATTAAGCAATGCACCACAACATAACAATGCAAGTCAAATGTATCAAAACCAAAATAAGGTTATTCTAGATTATAGCTGTTTTGCAAAATTCAACTTAATTTTGCAAAAATCAGGCATTCATGCTGTTTATGCATATATGAATCACCATATTTCCTCTCCAGTAATGTAGATACTAACTTTGTAACTTGTGTTTTCTGCAAAGAGAGAAGCATGTTAGAGTATTACTATCACAGTATTCATTACATCCCGTATCTTTCCAGGCCTGGTTCCTCCAACTACCCCGTCGGAAGTGTTAGAACACACTACAGTTGAATGCGGCTGAGACTCACACCAGCTACCTGGGACTCACCTTGGAAAGCAGCGGAGCACTATAATGCAAGGGCACGGGAAAAGGAGGAGCAATTCTCAGAAACTACCTGCTGGAAACAGCTTCCACTTTGGGATGAAGAGTCCTATTTGGCTCTCAGTCAGGAAAGGATCAGTAAACCAAGGCCACTAATTTGCCTCTGTAGAAGAATGGGCACTGCTTAGGGTGACTTGTTTAATATTATTTACAAGAAGGAAGCAAAATGCTTACAGAGAATTATTAAAATTGTTAACATACTCATTATGTTACATTGTATAAGTGGATAAATAATTATTTCTCAGTTAAAGCTGCTTAGTTAACAAGCACTTATTTATGCCATTTTTTTTTCTCAGGGACAGAGAAGGGGGACAGGACCCAGGGTCTCCACGCATGCAGTCAAGCATTCTTTGACAGCTTCCATCCCTGACCCTTGCAGTTGTTAGTGTCTAATGTTTATTAATCCCACACAAATTTGGATGAGATGTCCATCAAACTGACAAATTATCTTCAAGTACTGAAAAAAAAAAGTAGCTCTGCTTTGAGGAAAATGATAGCTTAGGCATTTATTTAACTTTATGTCCTTTTAACTTTATGTCCTTAAATTTTTTGTTAGTGGGAGATATTATTTTTAATAAAATAATTTTTAAAAAACTTTCAAATTTGAGAAGTTTTGTTTCATATATTTTGTTGCATATAAAATCATATGGGAAATTTAAGAATCACATAATTAGTAGGAACCATGCCAGTTATTTCAGAAAACCAGTTTGACACCTAATACAGAAACATATTCATCAATATTACAAAACACTTGCTCTTAAAAATGACACATCAGTGCCCAGTAAAGTGTGGGATGTGTCCCTGAGTTCCGTAATCTAAGTAGAGTGCGAAAAAGGGCATTGCAGATGTGTCGAAGAATTCCACAAACACCACTCTTTGTTTTCAGAGAAAACACGCTTTCATTGTCTTACTACCATCTGGACAACATTCTAAATCAAGCTATTTTTAAACATACCAGTTTGTAAACGCAAAGCAGTCTTGCTTGCTAATGATGTAAGATAAGTAGTAATTCCTATTCTCCTCAATTTTGCATAGTGCTGGATTCTAGGCATATGCTCCAGAACTGCTGTTAATTGAGTAAGGGGCCAGGAGTAAGGCCCTTGAAGTACACCACAGACTGTGGTGTCAGTTTGATCAAAATAAAAAAGCTTCAATTATTTCTAATGTAATCACCACAGCTATACTTAGAAAACACAAAATTTAAGCTGGGTATGATTTCATGCTTTAAATGAAGTACTTTTGCCATGATTCTAGCTTGCTCTTTATCTCTATGGCTTTCCATTAAGCAGACTTTCTTATAAAAGTTCAACATGTGTTACTGAGGAGAAGAGTTTAGATCAGACACTTTCTCTGATAGGTCTTTTTCCTACTGTATTTTGGTGCTAGCATTTGATAGGCAGCAGCTGTTTTCTCAGAGTTTATATTCTCCGTACTCTAAAATCGATTCTCTTAAAACAGACATACCAAAAAAACATAACCAAGTACAACTAAATAGCATACTCTTTCTCCTCCTCACATGAAAACAGAAAGAACACTCTGAAACATACCAATTTCCATGCAGACACACCTCAAAATACACACACACACACACACACACACACACACACACACACACACACACACACTATAGAAAGCCACCACCGCCACAGACATTCATCCACCCAGGAGCTCTTCTTGCCGCCTCCCGTCCCCTCTCCCAGCAGTGGCCTGGAGCCCAGCCACCTTCCTTCCCACAGTGCCCGGCTGCCATGGCAGCGTGCTGAGGACGGCAGCCCTTCCCTTTCACGGGTCAGCATTCAAGAGGATTATCTCGCAGGAAGGACTGATCCACATGGCTACTCTCATTAGCCTTCCCGGGAGCTGGCATTGGCAAAAACTATCAAGTATGCAGATTATTTCCCTTTATTTTCTTTTGTTTCAGTCACAATAAATGTGGTTTAAATGATTTTACAAAAATAACTGACATAAAGGAATTTAGTTTTACACTTCCAAGAATAAAAGGATCATCTGCAAATGTGAGCTGCAGAAAATTGAACTCAACTTTTTTCTTTAAACTATGTAATTTTTTTAAAAATTGTGATAATTGTTTTAAAACTTTAGCTACTATTATATAGTGCTCTATTTAAACAGCAAATTCAAAACCATTGAGTTTCAAATTTTCTCATTAACAGACACATTCTCTTATTTGCTTCTAATGCTTTTAAAGCAATCCTTGAGACAGCTACTCCATCATCGTGATGCTCTTAAGGACTAAATTCGAGTTTATGCTTGTCTGAAAAGACAGGTTGCATTTGCTACCTGACTAAAACTCACACGTGATGCAGCTGTGTGCAAACTGGATTTGGTTTTGGGCTCTAGAGACCACTTCTGCAACAGGAAAAGCACCTTACAAACTTCCCTCTCTCAGGGAAGGATCTAAAGGTTGACACACATCGACCTGCTGTTTCAACTTTTGGAGCCAATAAGAGAACAGAGAATTTGGTGAAGCCAGATCCAAGGTTCGCCTTGCATTATGAGTGCCCGCTGCTCAATGCTGTGCCAGACTTTGAGAAAGATCGCCGGGTTACTGTGCGGTTCAGGTCACATCCAAGCGCACCACTGGGCTCTGATTAGCTTGTCCTTCCCTCGCTGTATGTGCAGTATAAAGCTCTGTGTTAGTGAAGCCAACCGACCTCAGCTCCCTTCCTTTCAGGCAGAGGCGACTGGTGAGGCACGAACTGTTCCTGGAAGTCGCCTAGAAGAATTTGGGCAGAGCAGAAAACGTCCCCAGCCACCTACCCATTTTGCTGTTTACTGTCCCCCAGGGATCCTCTTCTCTGTCCCTCCGCTAGCTCCTGGGCTGTCTCGGAACCCGCGCCGGTGACTGTGGGCTGCCGTGGGACAGTAACCGCGGGTTTGCCAGCGGCCGGGGTGGGTGCGTGCTGGTCAGCACTAAGAGCAGTGCCAGCATGCAGTCCGGGTGCCACGGGCGGGGGGGTGGCAGCAGGGAAAGCGTGTGATGAGGTGGTCGCATGGGCAGGGGTGAAGGCGGACGATGGTGACGGGATGGACGTGACCCTGGGTGCAGACACGGAGCCAAAGGGCCGTGGCGCCTTATTGTAGGCTGCGCTGGCAGTGGGGGTGGGTCTGGGCGCGGCAGATGTGATGGGCACAGGCTTAACTACTTCTTGGGGTTCTCCCTATGCAAAACAAAAACAAACACACACACCAAAAATGCCAATGCATGCAGAACAGGTTCACTGAAGAGAGCACACGGCAGGTTATGAAGGACACAGACACAGCCCTCGGGTGAGCAGCCACACGCGTGTTTCCGCTGGAGAACAGTCAGTGATGGAGCGCCATGTGCCAGTCAGTGATGGAGTGCCATGTGCCAGTTAGTGAGGGAGTGCCACGTGCCAGTTAGTGAGGGAGCACCACGTGCCAGTTACTGATGGAGCGCCACATGCAACACCGACCCGCACCAACATGCAGACAAGAGCGGGCGGCTCAGACGCAGAGAGAGCTCCTGTAAGGAGTTTCCTTCCAGTTTTCCTGCTATTTAGGACACAGAGCAGGAAAACTATTAAAAGCTTAAAAGCCATCTTATGTTTTAATTTGACATATTCCAAAGGAAAAATTTGGGGGCTGGAGCGATAGCACAGCGGGTAGGGCATTTGCCTAGGGCACAGTCAACCTGGGTTCAATTCCCAGCATCCCATAGGATTCCTCGAGCACCACCAGGAGTAATTCCTGAGTGCAGAGCCAGGAGGAACCCCTGAGCATTGCTGGGTGTGACCCAAAAAGTAAAAAAACAAACAAAAAAAGAAAAAGATTTCAAATACTTCACAGTAAGCAAAACACCACTAACTGAAACATTTCTTCAAAAATAACAAGTCTTAATTGTCACTGTAATTGTCATCCCATTGTTCATCGATTTGTTCGAGCGGGCCCAGTAACATTGTGAGACTTGTTACTGTGTTTGGCATATCGAATACATCATGGGTAGCTTGCCAGGCTTTGCCGTGAGGGCGAGATACTCTCAGTAGCTTGCCGGGCTCTCCAATGGGGTGGAGGAATCGAACTCGGGTCGGCCTGGTCAGCCGCATGGAAGGCAAACGCCCTACCCGCTGTGCTATTGCTCCAGCCCAGGGAAAAAAGTAGTTGGCAATAATCTAACAGTACCATTAAAAGATTATTAAAATTCTATTAAAAGTCATTTTTGGTAACAACTTCTGTTTTGGAATTTGTCAATTAAAATAGGCAAATTAAAAGTGATTGATTGTAAGTTTAAATATGTTATCAATAATATTTGGCTTTGGAAATCATTTTTTATCAAGAAAATTGCACTGAAACAACACTTCAATGTATGGTTTCAGAGAGAAATGGAAAAGACAGTGTGCCCTGGGCACTCCTGGTACCTCAGGGTGCTAGATCAGAAACATACCTTCTGGACCGGAACCGGCTCGGGCCTTGGCGTGGCAGATGCTCTAAGGGAAAGAAAAAGGAGGAAACTTGTTAACAGCTTTTACTACATACCTGCCAAATTACCAGAAAATGTCATAATTCATGGCTTTCACTCCAATGCCTGCTAACCAGTTTGTATAACTCAAATGCTTACACACTTAGTATTCGTTGATTCTCAGACACATTCAAAAGACAAACAGGCATCTAATCATTCTTGCTAATGTTCTTATGTTTAATCTTTAATTCAAACTATTTCCCACCCCAAAGGCAAAATATAATAAATCATTATTTACAATCACAAATCACAAATCACAAATAATCCTGTTAATCGTCAATTGCCTCGAGCAGGCCCCAGTAACGTCTCCTTCATCCTAGCCCTGAGATTATATTCAAGGCTCTTTAGGAGAATGAGACCCATCATTGTTACTGGTATTTGGCATATTGGGTACGCCACAGGGAGTTTGCCAGACTCTGCCTCTTTATTTACAAAGGTTCCTTAAAATTAATGAGTTCAAAAGTATCTGCTTTTTCTCCTAGCAACTATGATCGTGGATGTAGGTTGAGGTTCTTTGTAAAGATACTGTGTAAATTCTGATTGAACTGGGTCACTAAGTGAGTTGTACTTTATAGTTATATCCTTCAATGCTTATACAAATTTGCCTTTTGGCAATGCTAAAATAAAACAGATAGTGTGCAGGTATATAACAGCACTACTAATGTGGAAAGGAGAAAACAAGATGGGAAAAATTCCATGCATACACTTTGATGATTTCCAAATTTAAATAGATTTTTAACCAATACTTTATATTGTCCCTCTGTTTAGATATGGACTAATAACTGATTGGAAGTAATTACCTTATAAAATCATGACCAATTCCCCAAGCAACTGTGGTGTTTCTATGTCTATTATTAGTGTTCGACTGTCATTACAATTTTCAGGTGATATAGTTCTGAGTAATTAATTATCTAGAGCAGTGATGTACTGTCACATATACCATAGCAGACATCAGCGAGAGCCATGGATGATTTAATGAAGACATATCTAACGATAGAAAGGGTTTTTTTTTTCCACCCAGTGTTAAAGTACAGATTATGCTTTTCATTGCCAGAAGAATTTTTCTCCCATGATATCACATACACCCGAGTATAAGACATCAAATTCAAGAAACCGGACAATCATTAAGTGTGTGATGGAGACCTTAAGTTAGTAATCAAACGCTTATTTACTTACAGAGACAGCATCATCACAAGAACTTGGCATAGGATGTGTAATATAATCAGAACCTAGCAATGAATTCTAGTCAACATTTTTTAGCAACGACTGGATTTTCCAGTAACAACTAATTTGGTTAGTGAAAACAAGAAAATACAGACTAATTGGCTAATGAGAGGTTAATGAATGCTAATGTGCAGCTACTACAGTTCAAAATTACACTGTGTGCAATTGCGTGACTTTCCATGTATACCCTCAAACAAAAAAATTCTTTTTTAGCTTCTGGGACATTATAATCAGCAAAGGAAACAAGTTCAATGATCTAATAGTGGGATCTTCCTTTCATGCAAAATTCAAATTAGATGTAACCACCAAGGTTATACTTATTAAACCACCTAAGACATTACCAAAAAAAGGGCCATAATAAAGCAGATGGTATCTTTTCTCAATTTAGACACTTAAAGATGTTAGGAGCTCTTTGAGCCACATAAAAACAATCTGTGAGACTAGAGCATTAATACGGAGGTAGGGTGTTTGCCTTGTACACAATTGACCCGGGTTCAATCTCTAGCATCCCATACGACTCCCCAGGCACCACCAGGAATAATTCCTGAGAGTCAGAAGTAATCTGTGGGCATCATCAATTGTGACATACATAAATAAACAAATAAATGGATAAATTTAAAAGATTTCAAAAAACAATTTGTAAAAAAGTTTGACATAACAATCACTATGCTTCCAACCTCAAAATAAAGTAACTCGTATGTCATTTTCATAACTGTCCCTAATTTGTTTAGGTGTGATCCCAGATCTCATATATAGATGATATGGTGTTTGTTCTTATTTATACCTTGTTAGCAACTAGAAATACGGTTCTAGAATGTTCGCTTTTTAGGTTTTTGAAGTCTAAACTCTTACTTCATTGGGAAATACGGAACATTAAATAGTCATAACATACTTTATGATTGCAAGTTCCAAATATACAGCTTGACATTTTGAGTTTACACACAAAGAAAATTTGAATGTGCTTTCCATTCCTCATTTTTCATGAAGTCCCAAAAGTGTATAGCAGAAAGTAACACAAGGAAAGCAAAGAGATGCAATATGCCTTCAAAACCCCAGAACAGAGTCTAGGACACATGAAAAACACAACTTTGTAGGATTGCAACTAAATATTAAATAAAAAAAAGTTGACACCGCAGTAAATATTACCATTGTTGGTTTACTTATCTAACTAATTACCGAAGATTTCTATATAATTCATGAAACTTAGGTTCCTTTGAGTTATTTTACTACATGCCTACCAAGTGTTTATCTGACCTCGTTCAAATAAGTTTATCTGACCTCTTTCAAATATTTATAGGTTCTCACAACTAAGCCATGTAATTTTTTGAACTCTTCTGTTTTAAATGGTCTTCACTTCAGTGTTGTTTACTTTTTAAAGAAAACAGAACAATTCAACTTGTCCTCATTAAAAATAGTTAGAAAGGTCGTCCAGGGGTTAAGGCACTTAAGGTTAAACTGACCCCAATCTGATCCACAATCCCACCTATGGTGCTCCCAGACCACCAGGGGGGACCTCTGGACACAGAGCAAGGGGTCGGCAGTGAGCACTGCTGGGTAAGTGCTACCCTCCACTCCACTACCCTTCACTCCACGTATAGGAAAGAATAACAGGAAAACACTTTCACACACAGTATAGGTATATAAAGCCTAGAACGTGACATCGTTACCTAGGAAAGACCAGGATGCTACATTACTCTTCTAGCTAAGTGCAGTTACATATGTTTAGGACGTTAGAGCAAATATTGTGTTCACAAAACATGACAAATGGTAACTGCAAACTAAAGAACAGCACTAAAACCAGTTTACTTTAAAACTGCTATCAAGTGTTAGTTATCAAAGAATAACAAAAATAAAGCCACACTTCTCACTCTCAAAAGTCAAGATTTTTTTACTATTCATCTGTAGTCCTTTTGGAAATATTCACTTCCGGAAGAACGACTGTTGGCATGCTCTTGGGGAAAGTGGTCATTTATTAATTAAAAGCTCTAAAGAGGCCAGAGAGACAGTCCAGCAGGTAGGGTGCTTGCCTGCATGCACTAACCAGGTAGGATCCCTGGCACTCCACATGGCGCCCACCAGCAGAGCCAGGAACAAGCCCTGAGCATCGCTCAGGTACGGGTGTGCAGGGCTGACTCCTGGCACTATACTCAGGGATCACTCTGAAGGTTCAGGTTCACATGATGCTACAGGTTAACTCAGGTCGGCCACATGCAAGGCAAGTGCACTACCTGCTGTACTATCACTCTGGTCCCAGGAAATACTATTTTAAAGGAACACACAAGGTAAGCAAATCTTTCTAAGTCTGAAATCCTTATTTAAGTCCCTTAAAGTAACTAAAATGACGTGAAACAAATACTACAATCCGTAAAATCCTTGTAAACATTTGCTAAACGCACAATCCTCTTTATCAAACTAGTTCTGTCTTGAATTTTATAATACAATATTATGAGCATAATTTGATCAAGGTTTAAAGACAATCCCTTTTCTTTCCCAAATTAAGTATCAGATCCTATATATTCTCAGAGAAAATTATAATGCATGAACGAGAAGACTATTTTCAAATAAAATTTTTTACATTGTCTTCCTTTTGGGAAAAATATTATATTCAAAACCTATTCCTTTGCTTTAGAAATGAGCAAATGAATTTCAAGGAATATTACAACAGTTTTTTAAAAGATACAACTATTAACTTGTACTGTGCTGTTCAAATTCTGGACAATATGCAGTGAGCTACTTATCCCCTTTCCACTATGGTGAGAATCGCAAGTAGCTCTTGTGTAGCGTGGGATTTGCAAACTAGCAAGAGATCCTAGGCATGGCTCAGTGCCACGGGCACAACAAGCTGCTCATTGTTCTCTGGCCCCTAGTGCAGGGTCAACACACAGCACACACCACGGACAGCGGGACACCAGCGTGCCACCCCAGACGCAGCACAGGACAACGTGCCCAGGAGGCGAGGACAACCCGTTATCAAAGAGGATGGATTTCTGTGAGAGCAGTCATCCACAATAAAAATTTCTCATGCAAAGCAAACAAACCCAGAATGTTGGATTAAACTACCCAAAGAAATTCTAAGTTACAGTAGATTTTATATATATATATATATATATATATATATATATATCAGAACTGTAAGATTGTGGTTAGAGTAGGTTAAAATAAGTAATGCTACAGACAGCCCGATCAGAGATTAGATTCAAGGGACTCAAGGACAACTGCATTTTAGGAAACCCAAGAACTCTTCATTCCACTCACATGTAAGTTATAACTAATTAATGCATTTTTCTGAAACCCCTTTTTAAAACATGGTTTTAGATAATAAAAGTACTGAAAGATTGTTCACGGTGTTTAAATGAGGAATTAAGCAAAAGAAGTAGCCTGATAAGGATGATTTACATTACCCATTATGTCTTGGTGAGTCCTTCCGCCAGATCTAATACACTTAGCTCATAAACATTCGTCCAGAAAGGAGAATCTTAGAGCATCTCCTGTGAGATTAGCTCTCTCTACTTTTCCCACCACACTGGCCGTCTTCGGGCTCACTGACCTCGAGACCCATAAACACTGAGGGACATCGTTAATCACTTTAATTGCAAAGTTGTCAATTTGCAATAACAAAGCAACTCCAGGGTGGGAAAAAGTGAGCACTCAAGTGTATAGAACTGTCACATTAAACAATTTCTCGGGTATTTTATTGCCCCTCTAGCTACTTTTGTAAAAGCCCAAATGGTAAACATTTAAATG